GCAGCCGCACGTATTCTCCTAAACCTTGTTTGCCACACACGTGTGTCTGGGTTCTTGCCTGGAGAGAGGATAGCTCTGACCCCTGCCCCCTGCAGGTGCAGTTGAGCAAAACAGCTTTGTAGGCAGATTAATAAAAATGTTAAGGAAAGTGATCTGGGCTGCATTAGCACCATGGCTGTTATTGATAGTATTTTCTACACACTTCACTCTGCAAAATCGAAAACATACAGTCAAGCTTGATTTCATGCCAGCTGACTCACACTCTAAATTGGTATTAGAAGATGTTTGTCACCATAGAAAAATCAATATCAACTTTCCCATTGAAATGCCTGTCACACCTAGAGCCCGGGGCCTCAAGTATGCTGTCCTAACTGGTAGGTTAGTAAGAACAGAGGCCAGTCTTTGCTGGCACCCTCTGAACCTCTGTCTTCTTATCTGGAATAATCTCTAAAGTTGCTTCCATCTCTAATGCTCTTTGGTTATGAGAAGGGACCCCTTGGGACACTTAAAGATCACCCCCATGCTCCATTTCCTACAAGTCTTCCTGGCCTCTCTCCTATCCAAGCTGGGGTTCAGCATTTTTGTTTTTCTTTGCAATGGAACAAAGACCCTGAGACATTTCATGTTCTGTGTCATTGGATGGCACCGTGGGACGCTGGTGCCTCTGAACACGAGTCCTTCCCTTAGTACGTGCACTTGTTCTTGCAGACGTTGTCTGAACGCATCTGCAATCTGTGAAGTGTTATTCTGTATGGCCCTGTGAATTATTATCATCCTGTCTTTAACCTTGCCCAGATGTCCTAGACCATCATTGCATCCTTGCTGAGGTGATAGTACTATAAGGTCTTCTGACTCTCCTTGAGAAACATACTCCTTCTAAGGCCTCTGTCCTCCAGCCCTTCCTAAAGCAAGGATCCAGGAAATGTATTTTGGTTTGGTGTTCTGGTTTGGTCTGGGTTCATGTGTGCGTGTGTGTGTTGCATTGCATGCCTGTGTGAATGGGTATTTGCAGATATGTATGCACACGTCTGCGGGTGTGTGTAGAGGTCAGATGTTGACATTTAGTGTCTTCCTCAGCCACTATCCATGTTACTTACTGAGGCGGGGTCTCCCTGATCCATCTAGTCTAACCAGCCAGCTTGCTGTGGGACACTTGCTTCTGTCTCTGAGTGCTGGGATTACAGGCAGGCCAACTCAGGTACTCAGGCTTGTGCAGCAAATACTTTATCTACTGAGCAATCTCCTCATCCTAGGAAATGTGTTTTTGAATCATAAAAGGTCTTTGATAGAGGTTTTGCTAATCCAGGCTCCCCCTGGGCTTAGTACCCTTCATTTTACCAACCAGAAATGGAGGCTCAAAGAGGCTAAAATACATATGCAAAGACTGCGGGATGGAATGCTGGATGGCAGGTAGTATGGACGAGAGAGAACATTTTAGATCCTTGGCTAGCATCCTCAGCTTTGCACTATGTTGCCTAGAAACTCAAGTTTGCCTTATTTCAGAGGCTAGAAGAAGTCTACACTTAATGTTCTGTTATGGCTGAGTTTGTTCTTGATGGTCCTTGTCCCTTTTTTTGTCTCCAGGGGAAGTCTCAGGCAGGAATCCTGGACACCTGACTCTATCTGTAGGGTTTTTACCTTCAAGTGGGGAAAGGGACCTAATGGGAGTGCTGTACATCTGAAATAAAGAGCTGGATTTTTCCAGGCCTTAGAGTCATTCCACAGGTCGGGCACTTGGGGTAAAATTGCATTAACTCCTGGTTTCTAGTCATTATTATATAAGGCTTCTGCTAAGTTTGATTAATACGTTTTATGTTGATGTGAAAGGACGGTCTAAATTTTGACAGTGTCCCCAACTTTACTCATGGTTTGGGAAACAGAGCCTAAGGAATTGCTTGTTTGCATCCTATAAGTTGGGGCTAAAATGAATTGAGACAGAATCAAAATTAGAATTATAAGGTTCTTATATGCCAAACACAAAGTTTGCAGTGCATGATTATTATGTCTTTGAAAGTGAGGGAAAGGCAAAGAATCTTGCATGAGGTGGTTAGCGCTAAGAATTTCTCACACTATTTTATTAGTACATTTTTAAACTTTTTAAACCTATATACAGCCTTGTTCGTGATACAGTAAACTTAATCAATGAATGCAGTAAGTGCTGCAAATGTTTGAGTGTAGTTTCCTATTTTAACCAAACTAGAGTTGGAGAGAATAAAAGAAAGGCGCATGTGTGTTAGCACTCTGAATACACTCCACGTGTGGCAGTGCAAACACAGTATAACCCCTACTCAGGAGACCTTCAGTTTTCACAGCTGGTACACAACCCAGCTTCATCAGTACCATCTACTTCTTAGAATGCCCCAGTCCCAACCCGGGGGGTCAGAATCTTCAGTTTGGTGTGGCCCCTAGGTGATTTGGTTGACTGCACAACTCTCGGTTACTTTCTCCTGTGTTGGTCCTGGAGAAGGTTGCTTTCCCATCTACGTTACTTAGGAAGAAAGCTACCAAACTTGTGATGGCTGGGCTTGTCAACTTGATTGGACTGAGAGATGTCTAGGACTAGATTTGTATGAGAGAGTGCTTCCAGAAAGGACTGATCTATGGGGCAGTAACTGAGGGGAAAGTCTCACTGCAGATGAAATAGAAGCTGACGAGGACAAAGCCAGCAGTGAGCTTGCTCTACCTCACCTCCCTACTCACTTCCTGAGGTGATGTGCTGTGACCAGCCATCCTCTGCCATGTGCTCCCACCACAGTGTCCTGTGTTAGCCCCTGGGGCCAAGCAGCTGGGTTGGACCTTCTGAAACCATGCACCGAAATAAATCCTTCCTCCAGTTGTTTCTGTCAGGCATTTTGGTCACAGTAACCCAAATGTAACTAATGTAAAACAGATGCTGTTGTAACTGATCCTGAGTGAATACAGGTGTCCCTTATGACCCCTGTCATGTCCCACACGACACACACACAGTTATCCTATTATGTTGTCTCTCTACTGGTTTACTTTCTGTTCCTCCTGGCTGTCACAAAGTTGATTTCTTCTGCTTTGGTTTTATGCCTGGAGATAATTTACAGTCTCACAATACCTACATCTCTCTATTTGCAGCAAATGCCCTTTTGCATATTAATATTTGGGAGAGAAAAACAGTAAGACCATTAGCAGTGAACAATAATTACTTTTTGCTAGCATTTATGCACAAAAGGGGACATTCACTTTGATTTTCTTCATTTTTATTCTAAGCAGGAAGAAATGTAAAGGAAGGGGTTTTTTCCTTAAGAAAAAAAAGTAATTAACTGAGTACTAAACTCTTGCTAATATAGCCATTTTCATCCTGAAAATCCCTTTCATCGTGCTCTGTCTACCTAATGAATTTCAGTTGTCTTAAGAATAATTTAACAGTGCCAAATCCTGGTGGTTAAAGTCCTGCTGGAGTTACATTGATTTTTTTTTTTCATCTCAAGTTTTCTAATAAGCTAAGGAAAGCAGATTTAGTTAATTGGCAGTCTTACATCTGCACTTGGCAGGTGTGCTTGGCTTACACTGGAACCGAGATGCGCTCTCTCAGGATATAATGGTCCACTGCCGTGGTGCCAGGTGCATCCTGGGAAATCAAGATACGCCCGTGGGCCATTTCCCTGTTCAAGCTTCTGTGCTGCTGTGGTCTGATTCTACCTTGGATGGCTCCAACTTGATGGATTTCATCTGAAAAGGAAGGACAGGAGAAGGTGACCTGATATGCTGGGCATAGTCTCTTTGACTGAAAGTTCATGGGCGGCTCTCCTGTCTGCCTCACGAGCTGTCTGTGTCCCCTGGAATAAACAGTGTTTAGTGCACTGGTTCCTATGGATACCATGTTTAGAGAGGAAATCGAAGAAGAAAGCCATCTTTGCCTCTGACTCCCCACACAAGTGAGCCAGCTGGGGATGGCATCATTACTCAAGGGCACTGTTCATAGTTATGAAACCAGACTTCCTCAGATACGGGAGTTCGCCAGTGCCACTGGTCAAATGACCAGTGTGAAAAAGGGCAGGGCAAGCAAGGGAACTTTCCTGGCAGCTCTAAGGAAGAAGAGAGACACTGACGGAAGTCTGAGGTGAGAGAAGGCACACAGGACCCCAGCTGTAGTGTGGACAGCATGAACCACATGCTGGGGTGTAGTGCTTTCTGCAGAGTCTCAAAACAGCCTCTCCCTACCCACCCCCAGTTGTGCTCAAAAACTGAAGAGGAGTGGGGATGGACTAAGCCAGAGTCTTTTGGTGAGTTGTGGAATACACTTGCCTAGACTCCTGCCTCCTCCACAGGCAGCAGGTGACTAGTTAAGTTCTTTACTGTTTACTAGGTGAGACCTTGGGTTCTGAGCCAGCCACATTGGAAGTCTAGTTCTTCCTTTCCTAGCTGGGTGACCTTTGCTCTCTTGCGAAACCTCTTTTAACCATCTCGTCATCTATCGAGTGATGGTGATAGTGATGGTAAAGATTGCATGGGGATCTTACCAGAATGGGAATGTGCTGGTGCCCTGCGTGCAATACGAAGGAATACTTGTGACTGCGCAGTTTCCTATCGTGAGTGAAGCCTAATCTTACTCCGAAGAAAAGTGGGAGTCCTTGTCCAACTCTGAAAAGAAGAATGAAGTGAACAAAGTAACTGATCATAATTCTAGATCTGTTTGTTTTTGTTTGTTTCTTTTGTTTTGAGACAAGGTCTCACTGTGTAGCCCTGGCTGGCCTGGAACTCACTGTGTAGATGAGGCTGACCCGGATCCTGCAGCAGTCCTCCAGATTGCTAAGATTACAGGTGTGCACCACCACACCCAGCTCAGGACTAGCCTTTAAGGTCATTAGACTCACAGTACTTACCCAACTGTTTTCATTTCATTAAAAAGTCTTGCAGTTTGAGTTACAAGAATTGTAAAATATTATCAGCCACCGACCAATGTATTCCAAATGCAAGTACCACACTTTAACCAATTCTCTTCCCTCCCCCTCTCTTACCCCTCCGGGAAGAATTCCTTGACCAGAAGTGCTCCCCTTCCCAATGACTCCCAGGCACGCAGCGGGGCTCGGTTTCATACGTCCTATGACAAAAGATACGTCATCAAGACCATTACCAGCGAGGACGTGGCAGAGATGCACAACATCCTCAAAAAGTACCACCAGGTAACTTTCTGTTTTTATCTGAACTTAGAGCACTTTGGTATTTCCACCTGCCATAAGGCCAAAAGTCTGACTGTGCTTAGGCAGCGGTGCGCCTGCATTCAACACCACAGTCTCCTCCAGCCTGGTGATCTAAAGCGACTGCTATCACTGACAGTTAGCCCGAGAATGCTTGTGTTTGCTACTTACATAATCACTTTAAGTTTACTCTCCCTATAATAGTTTAGGTCCTCACCACTCTGTAAAAGTCACTGAGCTTAAAGATTTGGGAACTTGCCAGAAGATTCTTGGGCTAAAAGTTAGGTGCTGACCTCTGAACTTTTACCCATTTAACACTCCAGAATCCTGTCCCACCAGCTCTTTCTGTCCAAGGCCCACCCTCAGCCCCATCTGACTGTACAAAAATACTCTAATTTTAGAAGGTATGCTGGTCACTTCCTGCCCCTTTTCATTCCTCAATCATTGTCCCTTTGTCATCACATTAGGCTAACTACCCTTGGGAGCAGTGTTCTCTCTTCCCTGAAATACATTCCACTGTGATTTGGCACATGGGAGTACACGTCCACAGGTCCAGCTGGACCTGTCAGATCTCACTCACTGTGCAGTAAGAAGATCACTAAGTCCAGAAACAGATCATTCCCAGCCCATGACCTGCAGGCCATGTGACTTCTAGATCTTGAGACCTGTGTCCTTCATTTACACAATGAGAATATAAGTATCTAACTATGGAGCCCTAAAAATTAAAAGAGAAAAATGCTTGTCAACAACATAGCTCAGTAGCTGACACACACTCAGTACTCAGTGTATGGGGACAAGGTATCAGCATGTCATCAAGATGATGTCTATAATGTAGTGGTGACTAGTGATCCCACGTCACCTTGAGAATTGTAGTCTTTTTAAAAAAATATTGTATTAGGTATTTTTATTTTATGTGTATGCATGTATTGCCTACATGTAGGTAAGTGCACCCGTGTCGTGCAATGCCCGTGGAGGACAGAAGAGGCTGTCGGATCCCCTGGAACTGGAGTTACGGACAGTTGTTGGCTGCCATGTGGGTGCTGGGATTCGAACCTGGGTCTTCTGCAAGAACAGTTAGTGTTCTTAATTGCTGACCATCTCTTCAGCCCCAAGAATTGTAGTCTTATGGCACGTGCAGATACTGTCCTCCGGAGGGGTATTTGAAACACACACACACCATTGCATTCAGCATCTGCCTCGGTCTACTTGGGCTGTATTAACAAAACACGTAGACTGAGCAGCAGAAATTTACCTCGTGCAGTTCTAGATTGCGATTTTGCCATCAGCCTTGAGTTCAGTAAAGACCCTACCCCTGTCTCTTCACCTGGAGGAAGTGTAGAGAGCTTGCTGCTGCCTCTTAGTAAAGACACAAATCTCACTGTGAGGAACCCATCCACAGACCTAATTACCACTTAAAGGTGATTAGGGTTTTAAACTTTTTAAAATTTTCATTTATGTGTGTGTATGAGAGAGACTATATGCCATAAGTATCAGTGCCTGAGGAGGAGTGTATCAGATCTCCTGAATCTGGAGTTACCAGTGGTTGTGAGCAGCCTAGTGTGGGTTCTGGGAACCAAACTCAAGTCCTCTGAAAGAGCAGTATGCACTCTTAACTGCCGAGCCATCTCTCCACCTATGATGAGGAGTTTAATAGTACGGATTCTTAAGGAACACAAATACTCCATCTGTTCCTTTATTTTTACTTAAGTAGCCTTCAGTTCCCCTCAACAGTAAAGATTGGCCGTCACAGGAAGAATTCAAAGTAAAATGTCTCTGACTGCATTAGAGAAGGGTTCATGTAGAGTTTAAACAGTCAACTTTATTAAGTATTAGCCTCTCCGACTGTGTTTTCAAGGCAGCTCTTGCTTGGGATTGTGAGCTCTGAAATGACTAAGATGCCCTGCTCTCTAACACTGTGGATCATTTCTTGGCAGTTGCTATTCTTCCATTCTTTGCAAATGTGATCGATTGCATTTCACTTGCAGTAAAGTCTATAAAAACCTTTGAGCTGTGTTCTGTTTCTGGTAACTTGTGACTGCGTCTAGTTTGTTTTCTAAAAGTGTCAGTCTGCCTCTAAATTCGCTTAACATCTAATACATCTTTGATAGCAGCTGCTGCTTTTGAAATTTGCTCTACCATCCTTATGCTGTTGCCTGTTATAAAAGAAATTTTGAAGTGCCCTGCTCATACCTGGCTCTGAATGACCTCACTGGCAGACCACTGCTTCTAGCTGTTTGATTTGCCACTCGTATGCATCCCCCGTGGAACTGGATAGCACGCCCATGCGTTCTGTGTATGCTTTAGTTGTCTTAGAACATGCAAAGTAAAGTGGTATCTCATGACTGATAAGAACATATTCTTCTATTAAATAGCCGTGATGCCATTCTCATAAAGTGTGACCTGTCATTTGGGTGTCCAGTCCTGAATGAGCCCGAGCCCAAAATCCTTCAACTTTACAGAAATCAGTTTGATTTATTTTGTTGCAATAAAACACTCTGATCAACAATAACATGAGGGAACAAAGGGTTTCTTGGGCTTACAGTTCCTGTTTACAGTCTATCGTTCAGGGGAAGTCACGGCACGAGCTCAAAACAGCTAATAACCTAACATCCACAGTCAAGACCAGAAGAAATAATCACATCCTTTCTGCTTGCTCGCTCAGCAGCACCTTTATTCTTAAACAGTTCAAGGGCCCCTGCCTAGAGAATGGTGTTGCCTGCAGTGGGCTGAGTCAGTCAGCCATCAAAACAGTCCACAGGTCACCCTGAGCTAGATAATTTCTTACTGAGAAACTGTCTTCGCAGGTGACTGTAGATTGTGTCAAGCTGACAATCAGAACCAACCAGCACACACAGAACCACCCATGTAACACATGGGTCTACGTAACACCAGTTACATAGATATGTTGGGGGTCAGAACAGTTGCTGACACCCTCTGCAGGAGCGTTCATGGCGCTGATTTCCTCACGCTCTGCTAGTACAAAATTTTGGGTATGTTCTTTACTCAAAAAAGCCACGTTTAGCCAACATCTATGTTTTTCTTCCTTCCTGGAAACCGAATGCTTTAAATATAATTTAAACTGTCTCCATGACTGAGAATCACTACTGTTAATACAATTTATTTAAAGGAGACTTAATTGGAGTCAGATGGCATAGACCCTACCTTGTTACAAACTGTTGGCTTATGCTGTCTGTGAGCTCCTTTCTGTCTTCCATTCCATGAACCCATTTAATCGGGTGTTTGCTCCCCCTGTGGCATTTCATTTAATGCTCTGAACAGGGAAAGTTTACAGTGAGGGCTGACATTTCATACAAACGTTGTTTAGCAACTTTTCCACAAGTTGACTCTGTGAGACTCCCCAGCGATGCTCGTGAGCCCCTGTGAGTGATAGGATGTACATGGTTTTTAGGGCACGATTTTGGTTTTTTGTTTTGCTTTGTATTTTGAGATAGAATCTTGGCTGTGTTTCTGGTCTGATCTTGACCTTCTGAGCTTGGGCAATCCTGCCCCAAACTCCTAAGTAATCAAGGCTATATAGGTAGGTCCCACTGCTCCTGGTTCTGACTTTTTTTGTTCACCCTCTGGAGGAGTGGTCAGTTGACATTTGAAAAGTACATGAAGATCTTAAGTCCTGTATGACTGTGAGATGTAAGGCAGGACACATGTGTAACTCTACATCCCCAGTGTCCTCTCCCATTATTCTTTTAGTTCAACAATGATATCTTTTGTCCCAGAATTCCCTTGACTTTTCAGAATCTGCTGGTTTTTATTACATGGTCATCCTTTGTGTCTTGGTTTTAGAGACAAGCTCTCATTCTGTAGCTCAGGCTGGCTTCAAACTCAAGTCAGTCCTTCTGCTTTACCCTCTCAAGTACCAGGATTGCATGTCTGAGCCACCACACCTGGCCCCTTTGTTTAAAACATTTTATCTGTAGTTGTTCGTAGCCTGTTGTTGGTAGGCCAGCTGACCATTGCAATCCCTGGGGCCTGGATTTGTTGCCCCTCCTGTCTGCTGGCTCACAGATTGACCTGCTAAACCAGATGTACACCCAGATCTGAGGGTCAAGGTGCCAATCAGAGCTCAGTGCCATGTAGGGCAGAGGGAAGGGTCAAGATTGGAAGCAGGAAAAGTCTCACTACCATCCAGCCTTATCAAGCATCAGCAAGCTGGTGATGATGGAGACAACCTCGAGGCTCCAGCATGGCCAGCTTCCCTGTTGGGTAGAGCAGACCCAGGAGCTAGCTGAAGAACATCCAGCCACTGTAGAGTGGCAGGGTCATCCGTGTCACCATACTGGCCTTCCCATGTGTCTGATGGTCTACCAACTTCCTTGCTTCTGCTTAATCTCTAGAAGATCTTGGAACTTCCCTGGGAAGTTGCTTCCACGGTTTATCACTATAGACAAAGGAGTGCATCGGGACGCCCAGCCAGGCTGTCAGCTCCCTTCAAGGTTTGCAACTGAGATTAGGGCCCTGCGCTCCCTCTGTCGGGTTCTGCCCAGACCCCCACCCCAAGCATCAGCTCTGCAAGTGTTACTGGGTACATGTACTCCAGACTTTTGCCCCTCTGTCCTCAGTTGTAACCTAGAGGACGAAATAGCAGCCATGCTTCCTGTTAGGGGCATTCATTCTGTGCCTCACTTGCAAAAAAAATGCCATTAATTGTATAAAGTTCTTCATAGGATGTTTGACAAACTTACTTACCAAATGCTTCCCCTTCCCTCCTCCTTCCTTTCCTCCCTCTCTCTCTTTCCTTCCTCTTCCTTCCCCTCGTCCTCATCTTCCTCTTCCTCCTCATCCTTTCCCTTGTCCTCCTCATCCTCCTTCCCCTCCTCCTCTTCCTCCTTATCCTCCTTTCCCTCGTCTTCCTCTTCCTCCTCCTCTTCCTCCTCCTCCTCCTCTTCTGTTTTCTTTATTGCTATGGTGAGGATAGAAACTAGGACCTTCGTCAGGTGCTCTACCACTGAGCTATACCCAGAACCCAA